CGCCCCCCGGCCCCAGGCCCATCCCCGCCCCCAACCCCACTCACAGTTGAGGAGCCCGAGCTGCAGGAGCGAGGCCAGGGCCGTGAGGATCATGAAGAGTAGCAGCCCGCCCCTGCGCCCCAGGAACCTGACCACCACGCACATAGCCAGGCAGGATGCCAGGGCAATGCTGGCCACAGTGTAATAGTCGGCATAGAAGTTCTCCAGCAGTGGCACCTTCACCTCGTGGCCCATCATGCTCCGTGCAAAGCAGTGGTGGATCCCGTAGCCCGTCAGCCTGTGGGGAGACACACAGCCGAGGGGGGCAGTGGGCAGGCGGACAAAGGCAGGAGGGATCATGATCAGGAAACAGAGAGGCAGCTCAGCATGTCACAGAAAACATGCTGTCACCACGAGCGAGTGTATGACCGGGTGCAAGGCAAAGGGACTTCAGAGACGTGACAGGAGCGTGCCCCTCATGGGGGGGGGGGTTGCGGTTCGCTCTCCTCCGCCATCCCTTTAGCAGAAGAGTGGGGGTGTAAAAGCAGTGAGACCCTCGGTTCGAACACCATCCAACAAATCCATCATGCAGGACAAAGCACTCCCCACGCATCAGCTCACTTCGTCCCATGTCGGCCCCCCCAGGAGCTCCTGTCAGACCCATTTCACAGAAGGGCAAAAAGGCCCAAGGAGGTTAAGCAGCTTGCACCAGTCTACCGAGCTGACAAGTAACAACTTCAAAGACTTCCTGCCTATCTGGGCCTCTGCCTCTTCCTGCCGCATTCAGGGTTCTGGAAACTTGGGGATCCATCCAGAGAACTACCTACTTAACCCATTCCTGCTGCTATTGACAAGACACGCCCTGGGAAAGCCGTAGGAAGTCAGGCCAAATGAAGACATCTAGTCTTGGAGACTGTTTCCATTCTTAATTTATCACTGTTTCCTTCCCTCTGCCCTGGGTCAAGCCTCTTTCCCGCCCCCAGAGGATCGTATAAACCTGCTGGGAAACATGTGTCCGGGCCGCTGGAGGCAGATGTCCAGTCTGGGAAGCGGGAATCCGAATGCACCCAGGCCCCTGACCCCCACTCCCCGGGAGGCTGCAGGTGCACGCACACCACGTGGGCAGCGCCCTGAATGCTCATTCGTGACGTCAGCGCTCGGCAGCCGGCCCGGAGCTAAAAACCTCCTTCTCTCCCAACCCCTCTTCCGTGCTTTGGGGAAATCGAAGTGCTTTTATCACACCATGAGGATGCGTCAAGGTCAACTGCAACAGACCCCTGCCCCCGCAGGAGAAAGCTGCTGTTCGCCAAATGAGCTCATTTCCACTTGGGAAATCCTCCGCAGAGGGCCTGCCCATGCTGTCCTTTTATCATCGAGCAACTGGTGGAGACTGGGTTCACCTCTGCGGATCCCAGATGACTTTCTCTGCTTCTCAGCCTACTGAAGTCTCCGGGAAATCTACCTTTTTGTTCTGGGAGGAAGGCAGTCTTCTGACCACAACAGGTAACAAGGTCAGAAGCATTAAACAAGCAGCCTTAAAATGGAAACTTGGCATCTCCTCTATGTCACAATTTGTGGTTTTTTCCCCGAAATAAAAGTTGGAGAAGTCATTCCATTTTTAATGGTCCCGTTAGCCTAGCTAGCCAGCGTCTGAGACTGGACAACAGCACGGTGGCCGTGTCCGGAGCCGGCTCTGGGCCGGGAGGCTGAGGCCTCAGGGCTCCGGCCCTGACCCACCGTGTGCCTAGGGCCTCCGTCTCCCTGAGTGTAGGACAGGGTGTGAGCAGGAACCCCAATATCGAGAACTCATTAAGTAGAGCTGCTTCGATAGAAACAGCTGTGGGGAATGGTAGGACCAGAGCCCTGACCCTGGGCCTCGCTCTTTCCGGGACAGCAGTCCTGAGGCCATTCACAGATGAGTGTAAAACTACCCCCACCCCACAGCCTCTAACATCAAATAAGGGTTAACAACCCCCCCACCTTAGATGACCTCTGACCCTGAGTGAAGGCCACCTCGTGTGGTCAGGGAAGGGCAGGGTTATTGAGCTGTGAGTCAAGACGAGAAAGACCTTCTCGGTAACACTGATGCCGGGGCTTAGCCCAGGGCCTCTCGGCAAAGAGCAAAGCCCTGGGCTGGCGGTGGGAGGAGGAGGGCCCCACTGTCCTCTCCTCTAGCCCCTCTCCTTCCCAGCCTCTCCCTGACCTCTACCCTCTCCGTGTCCCTCTCGCGACTCACGAGTTCACACACAGGACCACGATGTTTTTCCACAGGTTCCGGGTTCCCACCACTTTCACGATGCAGACCTTCTTGGGCCTCCGGGAAAGCTCCTTCTCCAGCTCTGCAGGGAAAGAGAGCCTGTGACCTCTCGGCAAGACCCCGGACAGGCAGCCTCACAGATGTTCCCGACTTTGGGCATCATGACGAGGGGAAACATTTTTTTTTTTTTTCCCCGTTAAGCTAGGGGATAGGGTCTGGCTCTGAGGTTAGAAAAGGCGTCCACAGAGACACTAGCTTTGCAGTTCAAATTTCCCCGTGGGGCCTGAAGGGAGCCACGGCACCCCGTCAGAGTCCCCTGCCGCTGCAAAGCCTTTCTTGCCAGAGAGGCAGGACCCGCACAAATAAGCCATCAGGGTAGACGCGCCCCGCTTTGCCCGAGCACAAAACTAAACGATATTCTAGGTCACAGAGGCACTGATCGGGTTCAGACCATATCAAAACAAGTGGTTCCTGTCCGTCTAGAGTCTGACCCGTCTGCCTCGCCACGCTCCTGTGCTCCTTAGCTGCGTGGGCAGCCTCTCCAAGTCCGGCCTGCACACGTGAGTGCACACATGTGCACAGAAGGGCAGACCCAAGCGTATGCACGCGCGCGTGTGTGTACGTCTTCGCCAACAGTCAGAGGTCTTTGCGACCCGAGCAAGACAAGGCAGTGTTTTGCTCAGTGATGTGACCACCCCCCAGGGCATGAGACGGAGTTTCTGGGCGGCTCGGACCAGCTCTGAAAGCCGTTCTGAACAGACTCCGACAGGCAACTCCAACGCCCCACTCACAAAGTGGAGCAGTTTGCCGAAGGCCAGGTACCGACCCGGCAGCCTCACAAGAAAGCTCAACACAAGGAAATGCCCCAGCCTCCTGGAGCTCCCTGAGCGCCTGGGAGCGGGAATGTCCCACATTCAGCCTCCGAGGCCCCTCCCCGCTCTCCCAGCCAAGCGGGTCCTCAGGACTCATTCTCTACTCGGGAGCTTGGAAGGCAAAGGGAGACCTAACCCGTTGCTGGGTGGCTGGTGCTCCTCAGGACCGTCAAGGCCACGAGAAAGAAGGCAGAGGCCGGAGGAGGCTGGGGAGGGGTGACCACTAAGTGCGATCCTGGATGGGACCCTGGGACAGGAAGTCATCAACGGAGAGACTGGTGACAGCCAGGGGAAGGCTGGGGTCGGTTAGGCATACCGTACCAGCGGCAGCTTCTCGACTGAGACAAGGGTCCTGTGGTAATATGTTAACAGTGGGGGAGATGGACGGAGTGCAGAGTATTCAGAAATTCTGTACTAGTTCTGCAACTTTTCTGTAAACCTGGAAGTATTCCAAAGTAAGTTTACTAAAAAACCCAAACCAAACAAACAAAAACAAGCAGTATGGGTGGGAAGGCTTCTGAGCTTGGAAGAAAGAGAAGTACCTCAGGAGAGACCCCAGAGCAGCGTCTGCAGAGGGGACCGAGCTACGGAAGTGCTCTCTGGTATCTCTTAGGGCCATTCCTACCCCTGGATGTTCCCAGTTCGACTCTCCTCTTCTACCTCCTTCCTGCCAGCCCATGGCAGAAGGGCCACAAACTTTACTAGTTACACTTTGGAGGAAAATATGTTGCTTAACCAGGAGGGTTTTTTTGGATCAGTGTCACCAGCTGGGGCAAGAAGGGAGAAGGAAAAGTCTTTCGATGTCTGAGGGATGCCATGCCACCTGAGTTTCCAGAACTTTCTTCCTTCCCCTATTTAGGTGCAAAACTGAGGTCTATGCACAAACCAGAACAGCTAGCACTTCAGCTTTCTATCCATGGATCCCCCCAACTCCCGACATCTTCTGAACCTTTATTTTCCCCTCTGCAAACATAGGCTAATTTAATTTACAAACATCCTTTCCCCTTGGTTAAAACACTAAAAAACTTTTAAAGATCATGGAAATAGTATGGTTAACAGATAATGTTGGATCCAATGGTCTGAGTATCTTCACTGTTACAAAACTCACCAGGGGGCACCTGGGTGGCTCAGGTGGTTGAGCGACTGCCTTCAGCTTGGGTCGTGATCCCGGGGCGCTGGGATCGAGCCCTGCGTCGGGCTCCCTGCTCAGTGGGGAGTCTGCTTCTCCCTCTGCCTCTGCAAACTGCACCTTCCCCCCGCCCCCGGCTCATGCTCTCTCTGGCTCTCTCAAATAAATAAATAAAATTAAAAAAAAAAAATGAACCTCATCAGGAATCAACTATAGTAGCCACACTTGCTCATCATGGAAATTGTCCAAGAAGAAAACGGCTGTTAGAATGTTTATGTAAATTTTTTTTTTCTGTAATGTGGCCCAAACCTAACGGCTAATACATGAAACAGATGTTTAAAGAAGCTGCAGCAACTGCAATTATGACCTGAGTGTTTTTTTTTTTTTTTTTTATGACAGTAAACTGTAGAGCCCGAGGTCTACAGAACTGACTGTAATCTACAGAGGTAACTTCATTATTCTAAACAGAATTAAATTAACCTGTCCGGGGCTATTGATATGTTGTCTCGGTTACACACATCACCAGCCTATTAACAACAACGTCAAACTGCCTCAGCACAAAGTCTGTGTCTCTGGGACAAAAAGCCCCAGCTCTGAGCTGGAAGGACCAGCAGATGACTTGCCATCTCTCTAGGCATCAGACGGAAAGCTGGGACGGGCTCGAGTCCTTGCGCGCGGCTGCACAGGAGTACAAGGGGAGTGCCAGTCGAGCAGACCCTAAGCACCAAGGAAGTGACTGTTAAAAGCATTTCCTCTCCCTCTCCCTCCTCCCAAGCTCTCTGACCCTCTGGATTCACAGATTAAATTATATTCAGAGGATTAGAAAAATGTCAAAACAAAACCAAGCGGGGCTGACAGAGTTTTGACCAGCCGGCTGCCCCTACTCCGTCCTGCAGCCCCCGGTCCCCTCTCCTCCGCGTTTCCACGGATCCCCGTCAGGTCACAGCCTCACCCGCGATGCAGCAAGGGGTCTGACAGACCTGGCAGAATCCCGGTCTTCTTTCTTTTTGTTGGGCTTCCTCTGTGCCTCAGTTTCTCAGCTGGTAAGTGGGACAATGCCCCTCTCTTGGAGCACTGTTACAAGGACCAAAGGGAGCAGATGAAGCCCCGCATGGCCCTGGAGTCATACAGACCCTCTGGTCTCTGTTCCTGCTGAGGGGTTGTGCTGGGGCCCAGGTGGAGGGAGGGGACTTGGGGGTTCAGGCTGTGGGGAAGCCAGGGTCCCCTATCCCAACCCCCTCTTCCCACTCAACCCACCCACTCCCCACTGGGACATTCTCAAGCTTTTCACACCGAATAGGAAAAAAAAAAATGTTATTTTTAGATACATTTTATGAATAACTTTTGTTATGAATATGGCTGGTAACCATTGTGTATGTTATTAAAGATACAAAATGTTGGGGGGGAAAAAAAAAAAGGCGCCCCTCCTGGCCAGTGCTCTGGCTGACCAAGACGGTCCCGGCCTCCCCGCCCCCAGCTGCAGAAGGGACGGGTGTCCTTGCAGACACCCAGGAGTCATGACCTCTACATACTGAGCGATCCAGGTGAGAGGCCAAACCCTGCTTCTCCAGGACAGCACAGAGCAAGGAGCGGACAGCGCTAGATCACTCAAGGCTCAGAGATGCAGGGTAAACACAGGGACGGTAATTTGCATTTGTTTGGATGGTGGGGTGAGATTAACTGGCTTCACTTTTATACTTGTGTACACTGCTAACGCGTTCCTGGTGAACCTGGGAAACATCAGTTATAGCAATGGGAAAGAAGACAGAAGTGGGGGAGAGAAGAAGGGAGGAGGAGCAGGAGGAGCAAGAGGAGGAGGGGGGGAGGAGGAGCAGGAGGAGGAGCAAGAGGAGAAGGAGCAGGAGGAGTAGGGGGAGGACAGGAGGAGGAGGAAGAGGAGCAGGAGGAGGAGGAGCAGGAGGAGCAGGAGGAGTAGGGGGAAGAGCAGGAGGAGGAAGAGGAGGAGGAGGAGCCTCAGCGGCCCCGGAGCCATTATCGAAAGCGCACACTAAGAGCTCCGGGCCGTGGCCAGGAGGCCTGGAGGCCCGGAGGCCAGGCTCAGAAATGGAGAAAGCACCTGCTGTCTCCTCCGCAGAGCCCCTCCCCCGTCAGGTAGGGATTTGGACGAGATGGCGCTCTGCCATTAGAACAAGTGCTTCAGGTGCAAGCAGATGAGACCGCCTAGAGGGATCTTATCATAGTCACCTCAGATAGCTCACTCTTTGAAATCTGCCCCAAATTTGGGCAAGTGACCCGGCAGCGCTGACCTCGGTAACTGCCTCTCCAGGCACGTGGCTGCAGCTGGCCCGGAGCCCGGAGGAGGGGGAGTCGGCTGCCAGAGGGGTTAGCAGCCGGGTGCCCGGCGTCCGAGTCACCACTCGCTAGTGCTGGGACTCTGGGCAAGTGACCTAACCCTGGGGACACGGAGGTGGCCGGATACACTGACCTGCTCCTCACCTGGTTCTGACCAGGCTGACAAGACGGAGAGGGCGGGAGAAGGCAGAATGCAGGCTGGATTGCTGAGAAGGGCCAGGCGAAGCCCCTGCTGGGCCTGATGGGGGGACTCACCCTCCCTTCCCGGCAACGCGGGGCCAGGCGGGCTTCTCCGGGGATGCTGCCCACACAGGGCCTGATGCATGAGGACAGAGGACAGCCACTCCCTGCATGGGCCTTGTTCCTTCCACCTGGAGGGACATCGGCAGTGGGCAGCAGTGCTCCCCAACACTCAGCCTGTCTGGGCCCCGCTTCCCCATACGTCAAACAGGGATGATGTGATGATTGACCTCATTAAGGCTCTGGCAAGAAGCAGATGCGGGGTGTTACCCAGGAAGACCTGGGGTGGGGACAGCCCTGCGGAGGGGGACGTTCGATGCGTTCCGAGAGCCTAATGCAGGCTGCAGAGTCTTCGAGGGGCAGGTAGAGGTGAGACAGGGTCTCAGAGCACCTTCACCTCAGAAGGTCTGGGGGATCTAGCTAGAAGGCCCGGGAGGCTGCTGAGGGATTTCTGAGCAGGTGGTGTGTGTGTGTGGGGGGGGCAGCGAGATGGAGACAAGGCAGGTAGACAAGCTAAGGGACAGGGATTGGTAGGTGGGCGAGGTGAGGTGATGGGAAGAAGATCCCAAGCAGAAAAAAGCAGCCTCCGAAAGTTGGAAGTGGCCAATTCCGATGACCTGCCTTCCCCCAGCACTGGCATCGACGTGTTTGACAGCGGGGAGTGAGCAGAGGTCCAAGGCAGATGTGAACCGTGTGTCCCCAGCAGCGAGTACTGTGACAACCCTCCCGAGTGGGGCTGAGGTCACATGTGTCAGCCACCTCCCCCCGCAGCCTCCTGCGGGGACAGCAGCAAAACTCATAAGCAAAGAAAGGAAAAAAAAGATTTAATACCACTTCCCAAAAATAGGAGAAAAATGAATCAGTATAATTAGGATTGAGAAAACAAGCTTTTCCCAGACAATATTTTAACCGGAAAGAAATGGAATGTGGTGATTTCATTAGGGAAATGCCAGAAACAGATTATCCTGTAGGACTTAAGAGCATTAAGCTGCTAATGAATGGGGCCTGGAGAAGTTTGGGAAGATGGCCTGGACATCGCAAAATGAGCAAACATGGCCCCCAAAGGGGAAAGGAATTCAATACTCATTCTTCTCTACAGTGACACTGGTGTCTCTGTGAGCTCCCCCTACGCCCTTCTGCTTCTGCTGGACTTCCTGGGTTCAGGTCCCGGCTCAACTACTTACTAGCTGTGTGATCTTCGGCAAGACACCTCCCCTCTCTGTGCCTCAGCTTCCTCATCTGCAATTCAGGATAATTGTGGTACCTCTCCCATAGGACTGTTGTGAAAAAGTTGATGTACGTAAAGCACTTAGCATTAAATACTAAGTTAGTATTTGCAAATCATTTGGAAAAGTGACTGACATCTAAGCACCATGTGAATGTCATCCTATTCTCATGGTCACTGGTGTAGGAAACACAGGTGCCCCTTTGCAAAGCATCAGCACTCGGTACTCGTTGTGTAAAGCAGACCTGGCTCATGGCCTTTTTTCCAGTAAAGCTGGGCTCCAGGCTTCCCGAGCCCGTCTCCCTGTGTGGGAGGGCCAGGCAGAGCAAGCCAGCCCCACGGGTGGAGGCAGCCGAGCCTTGCTGTCCCCATCTCCCAGGTCATGGGTCCAGGCCATGCTGGTCAAGCAGTAGCATCTGGGGAACGTCTATGGACTGTGAACCCTAGATCTGAAGCAGGAGTCTAATGAAAAGCCTGTGAACCCTAGATCTGAAGCAGGAGTCTAATGAAAAGCCTGTCTAGGAACCATGGAATAGACAATTCCTGGAGCCCTTCCTGGCCAGTGTGGTTCAGATTTCCCGCATGTTCCTTCCCCGTTGTGAATGGAGACGTGATGCGTACACTCTTGTACCTCGCTTAGGTCTCTGCTCACCTGTGACCTTGAAGCCAGGCTCCCCCCAAGCATCTGACTGGGATCCTTCACCCCCCCCATCTCTCCACTCTGTGAATTTTTCTGACAGCACGCCTCCCTCCTGATGGATTGTACATTTCATTGTTCACTGTATGCTTTCCCTTGCTTGCCTGTAAGCTGCACGAAAAAGGCAAGGCTTTGCCTGCTTCCTTCTCTGTTCTAGAACAGTGCCCGGTACACTGCGGGCATTTAGTAAATATCTGTTGGACAGAATTTCAGATCGTGGTGGGGGCTGGGGGGTGTACATATTCTCTTTTGGGCGGGGCCCGAAGAGTATTTTCCTGGGAAATTTATAACAACAGTATCATCGGGTTGTTGCCGTGGGTCAGAGCCCGGGGTTGGTTTTATTGGGACTTTCAAAGGGTCTGTGCACCATGTACATCAGAATCTCTGCTACTGCTTATTAACAGTGCAATTTCTCAGAACTTATTCCAAATCTACCTGATCAGAATTTCTGCGTACAAGGGAGGGAACCAGGGATGTGGATTTTAACAACCTCCTGGTGATACCGACGGATCCCCAGCCTGAAAGGCCTGATCTAGCTTGTGGCGATGCTCCTGATACACACACATTCTATGGATCCGACCCCTGAAATGAGTAATACACTATCTGTTAACTAACCTGAATGTAAATGAAACTCTAAAAAAAAAATTAAACGGCTCTGAACTACTCTACAGAAAGACTTCACTTTCCTATTTCTTCAGATGCCCAACAGATAGGTCAAGACAGAGACAGACAGTGGCATCTCTGAAGTTCATACGTGGGAAGAGAGAGGCAGTGCGGACCAGTGCCACCCCAAGCCAGGGCTCTGCGGGTGTATAAACCAGGCTGGTAGGCACGGCTGTGTACCAGGCTCGGGCTGGACCCCTCCCAAACATTCCCAGATGACTGGGTGCATATTAGGCTCATGCCTCACTTCTGGGTCTGGACAGGACAGCGTGTTAGACTTGGCCAGGAAAGAATCCAACACCTAGAAGGTGGAGAGAATTTCAATTCCCGTACATTCCTGGTCCAGCTGCAGACCAACCATTATGGAAACTTAAACCAGGAAGGCAGCTGCTTGGTAAGACCGTGGTGACTTCGTCCAGGACAGGTGGTGCCTCTCCCGATCGGGGTGGGGCTGCGGGGCTGAAGTGAGCACTACTCACCGGGCATCACACCTTTGATGTCACTCTCGGGGTTCATGCAGTTCTTCTGCGTGAAGTGCAGGATCAGCTTCTTTGCAGCCTCAAACTGCTGGGTAGCCATCAGCCACCGCAGGGACTCGGGGAATATCCTTCAAAGACACAAAGGGAATGGGTGAATGTCTTCGGTTCTGCAGGGCATCAAGAAACACAGCCCCGGGACGCCTGGGTGGCTCAGTTGGGTAAGCATCTGCCTTCGGCTCAGGTCATGATCCCAGGGTCCTGGGATCAAGCCCCGCTTCGGGCTCCCTGCTCGGCGGGAAGCCTGCTTCTCCCTCTGTCTGACGCTCCCCCAGCTTGTGCTCTCTGACAAATAAATAAATAAAATCATTAAAAAAACCCCACAAAAACAAACAAAAAACCCCACAGCCTCTGTCCTGGGCCTGCAAGCTTCACAGGTGGGTGGCATTCACTTCCCACCCATGTGAAGTAATGGCCAGTGAATGCTCAGGATGCTCATGAGCCGAACCAGAGAAGCTAAACTGAGGGCTGGGGAAGGGGTCTAAATTTTTTTTGAGAAAATATAAAAATGATGACTTTCAAAACGCGGCATATAGGAACAACAATCCTATCATTTGTGTCAAGAAATCAGTGTAAACTTTTCACTAACTATGGATTTCTACAGCAGGTTTAAGCAGTCTGTTGAAGGGCTGCTTTTGTTATATTTTGTCACAAAAACCAAATAGTAGTAGAATGATTTTAAGTTTAAAAAAAAATGCCCGATGTGAGCAACCAGCCAGTTATCTTCAGTTTTCGAACATGCGAAGGCTTTCACAGGACTTACCTATAGAATTACTTTCATCTTGCTGCTAACTGCATGCCACCTCCCTCTGAAGTGACACCACATAACACAGCAGGTTTCAAGTTTTATTAGCCAACAGATTCCTTGATTGTGTTTAGGATGAGCCCTTGTAAGAAGTCCCAATTTAAAAAAAAAAAATAGTGTTTTACCATCAGTGCATTTGGTAAGTTTACTTTTATGACAGTACTTACAAGTCAGTCAAAGAGAACAGGGTGCTTGCTTGGAGCAGGGGTTAGCTCACTTCTCCTGGACAATATCTGTAAATATTCTAGGTTTTGCGGACCTGCGAGGTCTCTGTGGTTAACTCCTCAACTCTGCCATGTGTCCGAAGAGCCACGGACAACTCGTGCAAGAACAGGTGTGGTTGTGTTCCCTTCGAACTTTCCTATAGAAGAGGGGCCACCCCTAATAGGGAGAAAAGTAAAAGCTGGAAATCAGGCCCCCCCGCGCCCGCCCCAGTCATCACCGCATTTTATTTCGGTTATATAGTATCAAGGAGTCATGACTGGTGTGGCTAAGAAGTTAGCATTGCAACTACCCCCCAGCAGCCCTGCAAGCTCTGGAGAGCCTCTAATTAAAGTATCCAGAAGCTGGCTTGTAAATCTTCCATTTGTTCATGCGGGATCCCATACGCAACAATGAAATCAAGCTTATTTTCCGTGTCGTACTTTCTCTAAGCTGTCTGATCAAGTTACTGAGCACTGAGAAGTGGGTTCAGCTGCTCCTCTGACTGTAGATTTTAGGTCCTGGTTTGGGTAGATAGAGCCCTGCAGGCACGGGCCACTCTGAGCAGCCGGGCCCCCGGTGGGTGACGGCAGGGGCCTTCTGTGTGGATCAGAGGCGCTTCTATAAACAATGCTGGGGAGGCTGGATAGAGGGCCTCAGGCCAGCCCAGAAGCATCCCCAATTTCCAGATGCCCCACAGGACAGCCCACACCGTGGCAGGCCACCTGCCATGGCCCTTGACTACTGGGCCCAGTGAGGCTCCGCATGGCTGTGGCCTGAATACCGGCCCCGGGATCCGCCTGGACTTCAGGGTGCCTCTCGGCAGGGGGCCCTATAGCCAACACCAGTTGCCGAGCTGCCGCCTTCTTCAGCCGGGCATGTTCACAGGTGGTCCAAATATGCTCAGCCACTTTGGGAGAATCTTTTTTTTTTTTTTTTTAAATTTTATTTATTCATTTGAGAGAGAGCACGAGAGGCGGGAGGGTCAGAGGGAGAAGCAGACTCCCCGCCGAGCAGGGAGCCCGATGTGGGACTCGATCCCGGAACTCCAGGATCACGACCTGAGCTGAAGGCAGTCGCCTAACCAACTGAGCCACCCAGGCGCCCTGGGAGAATCTTTTTTAAAAGGCATCTCAGAAAACCAGCTCATATATTCCTCTGACAGCACAAGATGTTTTGCAGGTGGTCTCTGAAGTGTAAAATATGGTCTAGAACACGAGAAAGTTTGGGGTCCTTTTAACAAAGTAATTTAAAGTAATTTACATCAAATGTTTATGGAGCAAACTCCACAGCAGGGAACAGAATTTGAAAATCAAGACCATAAAGGTGCTCGATGCAGGAAGAGCAAGGCCCAGAGCCCAGGAGTCAGCGGGGGAGAGGGGGAGCTCAGTTCCCCCCCTCCACCCCTGGGGGGCCGGGATCCCCAGGCACCTGGGGCTACAGGCACAGAGCAAGTAAACAAGCAAGGAACGTCATCCACCACCAGAACAGGGGGTTTCATGTCCCCCAGCAGCGGAGGTCCTCTTCCTCCATTTACCCTAAAGCTTTGCCGGCAGGGTGGGGCTAGGTGGGGAGAACCCTCATGAGATGCTCTGAACAGTTCTGATGCCTGAATGGGAGGTGAGTGACAGCTCCAGGAAACTACAAAGTGATGTCTAGTTGATGTCACTTTGTCTTCAAGGGAAAGCCCTGCACTATGCATAAAAAGCTAACGTTTTTGTTATTGAAATCCCATCAGTCTAGGCATTAAATCCCACCAGGACCCACAGAGCCCTGGCCCTTCAGGAGAAGAGGCTCCTCTTCCCAGGTTTCAGAGCCACAGACGGAGACCAGGGTCCCATGGGGAAGGCGTCATGTGTGATCTGGTGGCCCATGGCTCTTGGGTCTCAGGGATGCTGTCCTACTCCTGACGGCCCTGTCACCCTCTATCACTCATTTTTCTCACCCCCAAATCATGCCTAAAGACAACAGACTTTGGATAACTAAAAATCGGTAAGAAAAAATAAATGCCCTTATGAGAAATGACAACGAGCAAGTTTCTTCCTAGAGAATCTTTGAGAATGGCAAAGCTTGTAAAAGAGGGCTCAAGGACAGCACCATTTGCAAAGGCATGCCATGATCTTAGGATTTAAGAAGTGGGTGTGGGTCTCTTTTGGAGCTCAAACATTCTGCCACCAAATTCTTTTTTTCTAATATGTGTTGATGCATCCCACATGGATACATCCCTGACCTCAACCTAAGAGTCCTCCAATGTAGGAGGAGATCTCTATACATAAATAAGTAGATAGACAACTAAAGTAAGTAAACACACACACGATTCACCAGTGATTTGGATAGAAGTCTATATGGTATGGGACACAACTAGGGCCAAGAACCAGAGTGTGCAGTTGTAGGAAAGGGGTGCCGGGGAAGACTTTGGAGGGTGGTGGTATGCTTGGGCTTCTCGGGAGATGGGTAGGTGCAGCATGTGGTGGGGTGTGTGTGGAGACAGGACCCCGAGAAGAGGCGCAGGGCCATGAAACAGCACGTGTCTGGGGGGCTGCAAGCTGGTAAAACGGGAATGCTGGGTGTGAGCTGAGAAGAGATGAGGAGAGGCAGAGAGGCAGGGCCCAGGTAGTGGAGGCTCCTGAGCACCACGGAGTCTAATGAGTGGTAGCCATCCAACCAGAAGGAACTGCAATGAAGACAGCGCTCTCCCAGAAGATTTGGACATGAGAACAAGGGCCGACTCCCATTAGCCACCCAGCCCTGCTTCCGGTGGCCAAGAGCATCGCAAACTGCCTTCCCTAGGACTGGATTTACAACCACCAGGCACTCTTCCGCACGTTTCCCACGTACTGAATACTTTCAAGCTTGTGAGGGGGTAGTGATATTACTCCCATTTCACAGATGAGAACACTCAGGCACAGAACGTTCAAGTACATCATGTAGATTCCAGAGCCGTTAAGTGGCAGCGCTTAACTGAACCCAGGCAGTCTGCCTCAGGAGCCCACATCCTTAACCTCGGTGGATGTGGCAAAGAAACCTCACACGCCCAGATGGCGCTCAGGTGACAGAAGCTCGGGACGTACTGTTCTAGTGATGCTTCCTCGGGTGTTCCAGAATGCCACAAGCCCAGAGGATGCTTGCACGGAATGATGAAGTTTTATGAGGCCCACCACACACTTAAAGTTTACTACAAAGCCATAAAGAACTCGCTGGACTATCGGCCTAGGAGAAAGCCCAGAGATGGCTTTCTAGTTTGGAAAATGGGCCGTGTGGCCATATTATGGGAGCTTAATGAAATCTCTTCTGACAAGTACATAATGTAATAACACCACACAAATTAAAAAGCCAGCCAACAGCCCAGGACCTAGGAGGAATGTAGCAGAACCTTAGAGAAATCGATCATTTTCAACAAAAATAAAAGAGCACGGTGGGCAGCAGGAGGCTGCGTCTGCCTGGTGCACCCTCCTGTGCAGATGGTAAGAAAGTGCCCTTGAGGGTGACTTCTGCAACCACGCCAGGTACCTGGGCGTAAAAGCCACAGTGGCTTCTCTGGGAGGTAGTTCTGCAATGGCCTGCGCCTGTGGCTCTGGGAAAAGGAAGCGTCCACGGGGCCAATGGCTTGCCTCAGCCCACAGGAGCTGAGCAAGACATTTCGAAAGCTGGAAGGATTTAATTCTTTCAAGCTCGCTATGTGGTAGTATTATTATTATCCCTCTTGCTCAGATGGGGAAACCGAGGCAAAGAAAGTACAAGTATCTGGCCCAGATGACACAGCTCTCAAGTGGCAGAGCCGGATGTGAACCCATGACTAGAGAGATGTTCAGGCTGGGATTGCTCCAAGTCAGGTGGTTCCATGAGCCCCAGGGCTTCTGCCGGAAGGATGTGGGCAAGCCCCACTCTAGCTGCTCTGGTCCTAAGCCCCACACAGCAAGCGAGTGTGGAGGAGGGAGGGCGGACGAGGGGCAGTGCCGGGCAGACGCCTCGTCTCTCCCCTGCTGAGGATCACAGGGCTGACGGGCCTCTTGGCCCGAGGCAGACGACGGATTGTTCTGAGGCCTTCTCCAAACTATGTTCGGG